CAATTATACGGGTCCAGAGTCCCGGTTCTGTGTCCTAAGACCAGAACTGATCACATCATTTTGCCAGGTACATAATCTTTATTTCTTAGAGAAAGTATGTTCTTGACTTTTCCTTTTGACATGTATTTTCATCATGAAGGCCGAATCATTGGAAAAATCAAAATGTAAAACCAAGAATGATGAAGGGGCGGATATCGTTTCCGATTCTTCTAATGTTACTGCTGATACTTCCAAAGTTGGTGATGCATCGAACGATGGAGAGGAAAATGGGGCTTCAACTTCTGTTCAGGTACATGTTTCACTTATTGATCCTGATAGATATGTCATTAAGCTTATCTCGTACTGATTGATGTCTCTATTCTAGTGAGGTTTCTATGGTGATATTTTCCGACAACTTACCAAATAGGGTTGAGCCCTATAAGGCTATAACAATGATAGAAAAAACAATCTTACTTATATTAGACTAAGTTATACAGTTGGGAAAGCTTTTTCAATTCTCTATTGTTTTTGCTTTGAGGTTCTTTCCCATCCTTGTTTTTTACTGGTAGATAGAAATGTCTGAGGGTAGTTATAGCTATGTTGAAAGAAACTGTAATTGCTGATATCTGCATTTTCTCTACAGAAAACTACTTCAGAAAAGGAAAATACCATGGCTGAAGATTCTGCAGCCGAATCTTCTGAAAGTTCCAAATCATGTGATGAAATAGCATTTAACCCCAATGTCTTCACTGACTTCACATTAGGTGGCAATCAAGAGGTAGGCTATGTTGCTTATAGGTTTTTTCTTTTCTTTTCAAATTCTCTCTTACAGTTTATTTATCTGTTGGACTCTTTTGTATTATATAGGAGATAGCTGCTGATGAAGAAAATGTGAAGAAAGTGAGTTCATACCTTGTGGATGTGGTCCTTCCAAAATTTATTGAAGATCTTTGTACTCTTGAAGTTTCTCCAATGGATGGTCAAACTTTGACTGAAGCACTCCATGCTCATGGTGTTAATGTTCGTTACATAGGAAGAGTAAGTTCGTCATCTGTCATTATCATTTTGTTAGCTATCTCCATGTTTGACTTTATTAACTGTAGCTGTGCATGACCAGGTTGCTAATGGGGTGAAGCATTTGCCTCATTTGTGGGATCTTTGCCTGAATGAGATTACAGTAAGATCCGCAAAGCACATTTTGAAGGTAATTTTGAATTTTGTAAAAATCATACCACAATAAAAATGGTGAACAAGATTTAGGTTATACGTGGACAAGCTTTCACTTGTTATAATGTTGTTTTCCTTGTTTTTCAAGATTTGAACAATTGATGTTTGTTCATTATTTCTGAAAGCTTTGACATCATTGTGCAGGACATTTTAAGAGATGTAGAGGATCATGATATCGGATCAGCAGTTGCACATTTCCTCAACTGTTTCTTTGGAAACTATCAAGCTGCTGGGGGAAAAGCTAGCACCAACAGCTCGAATGCTAAAAATCAAAAGAAGGTGTGTACTATCAGAGTTTGTTTATTATTGTTCCATTTTTGTTCATCTTGAATTAGGATACTGTTCTTTGCAGCTGTCTATAAAAGTTTCTCGTGAAACAAATCAAGTTTTTTTTCCCTGACCCTTGAATTTGGACAGGATCAATCCATCACCAAGAAGGGTCAAGGAAGAGGGAAAGGAAAAGCTTCTGCGAAGAAAAATTTCTCATCGTATATGATGGTTGATTCTAACATTCTATGGTCTGACATTCAGGAGTTTGCCAAAGCCAAATATGAGGTAAGCCAAAGAGTCATTAACCAAATTAAGATTATCCTATCGGCTGTCTATGAAAGTGTTGTCACCCTTCTGGGTCACCTACTATAATCATCTATATTAATGCGATTATATTTTCAGTTTGAGCTGCCCGAGCTGTCAAAAACTACAGCTAAAAAAGTATCGGTTCTTCGTAACCTCTGCCAAAAGGTATTTAATTAGATACACTTTCTTGTTACTTCACAATTTATTTATCAGGGTATCCCTGATTATACCAGTTTCATTATTTTTATTAATCCCTCATTTTCTGCTAATAGATTGGTATCAGTATTGCTGCTCGCAAATACGATTTTAGTGCAACATCACCTTTTGAGACATCAGATATACTGGATCTTCGGCCTGTAATTAAGCATTCCGTCCCTGTATGCTCCGAAGCTAAGGACCTCGTTGAGATGGGGAAGGTCCAACTGTCTGAGGTACTTTTGTTATTTCACATTAGCTAATCTATGTGTTTACATTGTTGTTCTCGTCTTGGCTGTTACATTTTGATCATTGTGATTCTTCTGTTTGCTAATTCTTGTCAATATATTTGCATTGGATAAGATCGATAGAACCTTATCATGATTTGGGTTGGTATTTAACTCGTCTCATATTGCGGGTAAAAGTCATTGTATTGTATTTACCAAAATGATTAAACATTTGTAGGGCATGCTTAGTGAATCATACACGTACTTTTCAGAGGCGTTCTCAATTCTTCAACAGGTAAGTATTCTGTATATGCTCCTTGTACTGTCAAAATAATATATCACCAAAGCTGCTCATGATATTCGTCTGATTCAGGTGACTGGTCCTATGCATAGGGAAGTTGCTAACTGTTGCAGGTATGCATGCCTCCAGCTGATTTTTGTTTTATGCTGGAAAAATTTCTATGTACTTCCGTTTTAGTTGCTTTAAGATTTTTGTCGTCTTTCGCTTTTCAGGTACCTGGCCATGGTCTTGTACCATGCAGGAGATATGGCTGGGGCCATAATGCAACAACACAAGGAGCTCATTATAAATGAGCGTTGCCTTGGTTTGGACCATCCAGATACTGCTCACAGGTATCAACTATCTTTCTTCTGTTTATATGTTGTGACTCATCCTGATTTGGAAACTATTTACTTTCAGCTGTTGACGTAAATATTTAATATTGCAGCTATGGCAATATGGCTCTTTTCTACCATGGACTGAATCAGACAGAACTTGCTCTACACAACATGGGTCGAGCCTTGCTTCTACTTGGCCTTTCATCTGGCCCAGACCATCCAGATGTTGCAGCTACATTTATAAATGTTGCCATGATGTATCAAGACATGGGAAAAATGGACACTGCTCTACGTTATCTTCAAGAGGCTTTGAAGAAAAATGAGAGACTTCTTGGTCCTGAACACATTCAGACTGCAGTATGTTATCACGCTCTTGCCATTGCGTTCAACTGTATGGGCGCATTCAAGCTCTCGCATCAGGTACAAAGACTTTCGTAAAGGCTTCTAGACATTCTACCGTCTCACCTTCTGATGTAATTTGTGTTTTCTTGTCAGCATGAGAAGAAAACCTATGACATACTTGTCAAACAATTGGGAGACGATGATTCTAGGACACGAGACTCTCTAAACTGGATGAAGACATTTAAGATGCGCGAGCTTCAGGTTTGATGCAATGATAATGACTAGGGGAACCTCTTTTTTCTATGTATACATTTGTTTGTATTTCTCAAATTTTTTGGTTGGGTTTTACGCCAGATGACTGCTCAAAAGCAGAAAGGACAGGCAGCGAATGCCGCCAACACACAAAAGGCTATCGATCTCCTAAAGGTATACTGAGAATAAAAAATTCCTTTGTTAATGATGGTATAGTGTTGAAACATATATCTATAATTAGGCTCTTCCTTAAAATGCTAATGAAATCATTTTCCTGATTGGTATGCAACAGGCACATCCAGACCTGATACATGCCTTCCAGAACGCAGCAGCTACTGGGAGGTCTAATGCACTGAACTCGGCTGTCCTTGGGGAGACCCAACCACGGGGCAGAGGTTTTGATGAAAGAGCAGCTCGTGCCGCAGCTGAAGTTAGGAAGAAAGCAGCTGCGAAGGGGCTACTGGTTCGCCCCCATGGTGGTGTTCCAGTTCAAACTATGCCACCGCTTTCTCAACTCCAAAACATGATCAATACCGCCACAGATTCTTCTGAGAAAGGTGGAGAAAACGGGGAGGCAAAGGTACAAGAGAAGAAAGAAACCTCTGAAAATGGGAAAACAGAGAACCTGGCTCCTGCAGGATTAGGTGCCGGTTTAACATCTTTGGATAGGAAGAAGCAAAAAGCCAAAAAATAAGAAAAAAAGTAGGGAGGTTGAAGGAAAATGGTGCTCAAAGAAAGTGCACGATTCGAAGTAGTGAAGTTGGTTTTTGTCTCTGGAAGTCGATAAACCACTTGCTGATTTCATTACATGACAACACTCTTGTACCTTAAGCTTTGATTTCTTCCCATTATGTTTCAGTGATTTGGTTTGGGTTAAACACCCCTTCCAGGTATGTTTGGTTTTTTCTTTCTTTCTTTTTACCCCTCACTTTCTGCGGATGTAATTTTATCCCACAAAAAGCTTCATTGATTTTTCTAGTTACTAGAATAAGCCGTGTACTAGAATATGTTCACAATCTACCGTTACCAACTTATAATGTAACTTTCTGCTCAGTTCAGCCTTACTTTTGTTTCTTTATAATTTTCATATAATAAAAGTATTGACGTAGCTTGTTTTGTTTTAGAGAGTGTTTTGATTTTAACTTGTTAAATAAGCAATATTGTAACGAATGATGAACGTCCATGAATAGTTCAAGGATTTCTTTTTGCGAAAGTCGAATGATGGAAAAAATTAGTTTGAAGAACTTAGTATGGATCATTTCAGGCTTATTAGTTTAATTACTTTTGGACACTATTTCAGGTTTATTTAATAGTATGATTGTTTTAATTCTTGTGAACAAATTGTGGTAAATACTGATTAAAATGTGCATCTTACATAGTACTGTCCCTGTTTCATTGTATGGCTAATAGTCACCATTTCTTGATGAAATAGTAAATGTCTTTGGGTGCATGAACAGAGCATAATAGTCTTTTGCCCAAACGAGTAAGCTTGACGAGTGAGGCTATTAATATTCGTACGTTATTAATAATGACAGTTTTATATAAGTTACGATTAGCTCACGCTTATTTGAGATTCATGCATCTTCTTCATTTATATCTCAGTTACAGCAGTAAACTCCTCAAACAACACAAAACTAAACCCCCTTTGACAAATCTGCAAGTACAGCTTCTTCCTATCACGAAAGACTTTGATCGTATCAATGTGGAATGGTGATGGAACCGTGGAGGTCAATATGGCTTTCGAGTTTACTATTTAGAGGTAAGATTTTCAAATGGATCATGTTTTTCCCAAGACGACGAGCCAAGCCAACGACACCATGGTTTTTGTAAGCCTTGCGCCGTCAAAGTTTAGATGTCTGCCATGGTTTGGTCAAGACTCAATACCCTTTTTGGGGAATACTTTCTGATCGCTGATTCTATGGATCTTGTTTTTTGAAGAGGACGACGATGGTTCCTGTAAGCACTGAACCGCCATAATTAACCACCATGATTTGTGAACTAAACGCCGTGACAGACGGCGTTTCCTACTGAGACTCATACCCTTTTCTGGTACAATCTCTGAAGTCTGATTCTGCAGGTGAGTCTTTTCTGGTAAAATATATGAGCTCTCATTCCAACCGTCAAGAGTGAAGCGTCCCGTACGCTCAATGAAGGTTCTTCTAACTATAGCTATGTGATCAAAGTTCTTACCACAGCGAGCCTCACAAAAGTATGTGTACCTTATGTAGACAGTTGCATTTTTGGCAGTGAGAGACAACTCACTCGGTGGCTCTGTGGTCTCTATGGCCACTTCCACAGTCTTCAAGTTGGAAAGATCATGATCCTTGGAGGATCTATCAGATTTGGTAACTGAAAGTTCCAAATATAGACGAATCCAGTCATTGAATTGCAGCTCTGATTCATCCACCTGCAAAATGCAAAACATATATATAATCAATCAATCAGTAACTAACTACTTGTTGTTGTTGTTGTTGGCAGAAGAGTGAAGTGCATGCGTCTAAATAATCTTACCAGATAAAACCGGTTTCTGTTTCCGAAAGGATTCTCATTGGGGCACTCAGGGAAGCTACCGATGCGGAAAAATTCTCTTTCCAACACTTTACAATCTGTCCCTGAAATTATATACAATGATGATATTAGGTACTGTTGTAACAATAATGTTTTACAAAACTGAACCACAAGCAAGTTATATATATATATATATAATTACCTCGAGGTCGAGCAATATAGGACGTCAAAACAAACACGCCACAAGATTCTTCCTTAACGGCAGTCTGAAAAGTTAGGTACTTGTGGCTATATGGATCAGTTGCACCCAAAGTAATGTAGAAAGTGGCAGCAGGAGAAGCCAAAGTCATATTGTATCTCCTAACGTAATCGAGCTCAAAGTTTGTCCCCTGATGTGATTGATGATCAGCAACAAAAGAAATTGAATAAGAGGAGGACTGGGTAAAGAAAGAGAGAGAAAGACAAAAGACACCAAAGAGTTTTGATTGATTGTAACAAACGAACCTGAAGCAAATTGTAACGATGAAGGCCCATACAAGCATAAAGGCGTACTAAGCCACAACAATACCCATCGTGACAGTTCTCTCTCCTCATTACCATACTAGTCCTGGCGTCGAACATCTAAAGATATGATATCATCATTATTAGTTAATCTCTTAAATTTTTTTTAAAAATAATATAACAAAATGAAAGGAAAAGTTACCCCGTATTTCGCCAGTTCTTTCCTAGTGTGATACATCGCCTCTTCATAAAACGCAGCAACATCGTCTTTCTCGACTTTTGGTTTTCTTGTGCCACACTATCGAGATTTTATATTCCTCCTTATCCCATCCGGCAGTCTCACTTCTGGGCTCTTATTGGGCTTTTTTATCCCCATTCCTTTTACTAAAAGTGTAACCGAGCTAGGCCCGGTATATATATATTTGACGATTGTTAATTTTTAAGTTAATTGTGTATATATATTTTTTTCTAATATATGCAAAAAAAAAAAACAAAAAAACATATATCTAACCTGTATTGTAGGCTGAAAGATAAGGCCCTTCTAAGGCCCAATTTGGTCACAGAGGTTAGGAGTGAGAGACGGCTAATGGATAATGTGATGATACCACAACACCTTCTTCTTCTTCTTCTTCTTCCTTATCGACACTTTCACTCTCTCCGACAATGGCGACTTTCCTAACAAATGTTGTTTCAATCAAACCTACAGTGTTCTCATTCCAGTCCGAATCCTTCACCCCGTCCCTTACACGGGTCAATGTATTCCCGTCGAAACCCTTTTCTTCTCTCGCCGGAGCCATCTCCCGGAGCTCTAGAACAAGGTTCATTCCTTATGCAGTAATGGACACAGAAGAAAAATCCGCCGCCACTTTGGACCCTAATTCTGAAGCTGCCAGGCGTGTCTACATCGGCAACATACCCAGGACCGTGGACAATGACCAGCTCACCAAACTTGTTGAAGAACACGGTGCTGTTGAAAAAGTTCAGGTTTTTGTTCTTACATCTTCTTCTTCTTCTTTACTTACTTACTTATTAGTTCTCATCTAGATTTGTGATTGGATTTTGGGGTTGGTTTTTCCATCAGGTGATGTATGATAAGTACTCAGGACGAAGCCGCCGATTTGGGTTTGCTACAATGAAATCAGTTGAAGATGCTAATGCTGTGGTTGAGAAATTGAATGGCAATGTGAGCGTTTTTTAACTCTCTAATTGCTTCATATTGTTCATTTAAAGGTTTTAAGATATGACAGAGCTTTTGTTGTGTATTACTCAGACCATTGAAGGGCGTGAGATAAAGGTTAACATTACAGAGAAACCTATAGCATCATCTCCTGATCTATCACTGCTTCAGTCCGAAGATTCCGCATTTGTAGATAGCCCTTACAAAGTGTATGTTGGAAATCTAGCAAAGTCTGTTACAAAAGAGATGCTTGAGAATTTCTTCTCTGAGAAAGGTAAAGTAGTAAGTGCCAAGGTTTCAAGAGTACCCGGAACTTCGAAATCCACAGGGTTTGGCTTTGTAACGTTCTCCTCAGAGGAAGATGTGGAAGCTGCCATTTTGGCTCTTAACAACTCTGTAAGTGCCTAAACTGTTTCATTTTTACTCACTTACAAAATATAGAGTGTGCAGAATCAATTTTGTCTCACGTTGAGGTTTAAAACTGCAGTTGCTGGAAGGACAGAAGATTCGGGTGAATAAGGCGTAGAGTGTAAGACCGAGCCTTTGACATCATAAGAACGTGAAAAGAATTGTTTTTTGAGGAGTTTGTTATGCATATCATTAGAGCATAGTATCATCATCGTGTATTGTTTCTAAGTTAAAAAAGATGTTGACACTCAATGATACGCAAGGATAAATAGATATCATCTTGTATTCATTCTAAGTTGGAAAGATGTTGAGATTCAGTGATACGCAATGAGCACAGAGCAAACCTTAATCTTTAGCCATTAGTTACCCACATTTGCTACACAAAAAGAACACTTGTCTTTCATGTTCTGATAAATCCTGTATAGACAAATATATGAAAAAAATACGTTGGTGCTTGGCAAGCCTGATCAACTCCATGCTTGGAAATGATAGTTGTATGAAGATAACTTGATACAAGTCACGTCTGGAGATTTTTAGATTTACACCTTTGGTTTAAGTTAGTTGATAACTTGATACTTTATACCAACGGTCAGAGAGGACCAGAGCTTCGGGACGCACTTGAATCTCATCGGAGATTTCGTTGGCAAACTGATCAGAATCTCAAATAACGATTTCTCAGAAATCTCAAGTTCAAATCTTTTTCTCTTTCTGGATCCTTCTTCTACCTTATTTTACCAATCGACCTTATCTACAAATTTCTCGGAGAAGGGAATTGAAAATATTCATAATCTGCTATTGTTTTTAATCATTACGCGATAAAGCACCAGTCTTTTACTTACTAGAATCAGACAAAGCCGAGCCAGAGATGTTTAGTTTGCAGAGTCTTCCTCCTTTCTTCATCCCCGTCCCAAATCGGAGCACCAATTCTTGCTCAACGGCTCCACTTCGTGCGACCAGTGACTTTGCTGCTTCTCCTTCTACACCAATCTCTCGCCGTCTTATCCTTCTCCGTCACGCTCACAGTTCCTGGGATGATTCTTCCCTCAGAGGTACTCTTCTCTTCTCTTATTCTCTTCTTTATCCTCAAAACTGAAACCTTAATGTCTCTCTGTGCGACAACGATAGACCATGATCGTCCTCTAAGTAAAACCGGACAAGCTGATGCTGCCAAAGTTGCTCAAATCCTCTCTACACTTGGTTGGCTTCCCCAACTCATTCTCTCAAGGTCTTAATTTCAATACTCTGAGTTCCTCAAATTATCAGTTTGCTTTTTTCGTTTCGTGATTGGTAAAAATGATTCATTTCACAGCGACGCCACTCGCACTAGAGAGACACTGAAGTCAATGCAAGCGCAAGTGGATGAGTTTATGGAGGCAAATGTACATTTCATTCCGAGCTTTTACTCCATTGCTGCTATGGACGGCCAAACCGCCGAGCATATTCATCAGATTATCTCCAAATATTCAACCCCTGACATTACTACTGTCATGTTAGTCAGTTTCTTTGCTTCTGTGTATGCATCATCATCTTCCTTGTGCTGTCTTATCAATTCTTCTCCCAATTGCTACACAGGTGTATGGGGCATAATAAAGGTTGGGAAGAAGCAGCCTCCATGCTCTCTGGAGCTTCTGTTAAGTTAAAAACATGCAATGCTGCTTTGCTTCAAGCTTTTGGCGACTCCTGGGAAGAAGTTTGTAGATTCCATCCTTTTTCAGATACCCATGAGCTCCCCTTTTCTTTGATTTGAAGCTGATTGTTTCTTTTGTCCATCACAGGCTTTTGTGCTCTCTGGGCCTGGAGGATGGAAACTTGAAGGTGTAGTGGCTCCAGATAGTAGCATATGTGTGTAGCAGCATCCAAAGCTTCTAGTTTACCATTTTTCCATGGTTTCTTTCTCCTCTAGGCTTACAGTATGTCACTCTTACAACTTCTTTACTGAGTACACAACATATAAAAGGTTGTAAAGTTTCATTCTTGTGTGCAATTCTCAATACCATGTAGCTATGCTTAGGTTTTAGCTGATGAAAACAACGCCTGAGCGGATTGCATCTCTTTATCTGATGTTTGCCTTATGTAAAATCCGAGCACAAATGCAAGCATATTATCTATATAAAGTGGGGAGTTTGCATATTAATGTTATTATCATACACTTTTAGCTGTTTATGTGGCCATAGTTTAGAGTTGGGGTTTAGACGAAAATCCTTACAGATTCCATGGATTATAGTGACTTGGAGAGTCAATGTTTCTTAGGGCTTTCCATACAACACTATTGCATTTAAACCCTGACCCAAAACCGATCTGCCAAACTCTATCACCTCTTTTGATTTTCTCTTTGTGTTCCAAGTAAGCCAGCTCGTACCATATACTGCTGCTTGATGTATTCCCGAAACGTTCCAGTGTCTGCCGAGATGCCTCCATATCCTCGTCCGTCAACTTGAGATCCTTTTGAATCTCATCAAGCACTTTCTTACTCGATGACAATACACATATATGCTCAAAAGAAGGCTCAAGACGACCCAGCGTTGTAATGTTTGCTTTGAGTGCATGACGACCAACTTCGAGTACATCTCTTGATATATAAAGTCCTTGTTTCCCATCTCTGTCTTCTCTCAGCTCCATGCTCTTGTAACTTGTGTCCTCCATGCCTTTATGGGTTCTTACTAACTGTTATATTTCATCAATTATAGTGTCATCATTAGTCAAACCAAAGAACAGAGCAAGAGAATTCCAAACTCTTTGGTAACTTTTATTGTTTGTTATTATCACCTGCATAAGTTGGTATTTGGATCGCCATCTATCGATGCGCCGACTAGAGAGCATAACTGCAGCTGCTCCCATTCGGAAGAAACAATTTGGTGGAAGCAATGCGACATCATTGCCTGAGTACCAAGTGAAGCTCACTATCTCAGTGCTCACAATCAAAGCATAAGAGCCTTGGTGAGCGTTCAAAAGATCTCTGGCTAAATCAATAGATATGATTCCGGCGCTACACCCCATACCACCAAGATTGTAGCTCTCTGTGTTATGCCTCAGTTTATAATGATTAATCACCATGGCTGATAGAGAAGGCGTGGTGTTGAGGACTCCGCAGTTTAGAACGAGGATCTTGATGTGCTTCACGTTGATTTTGGTCGCTGCAAGAAGTTCATCAATTGCTCCAAAGATCACCATTGCTGCTTCTTCACGACCATCACGAAGATTAACCCTGTGACCAGGCTTGAAAACAACTCTTGGGATGTAGCTCTCCTCTCCTATGCCTGATTGGTGAAGCAATTTTCTTTGAAGCTCAATGGCAGTCTCGTTGAAGTTACCAGACTTCTTTGCCAGCTCGATGAAGTCGCTTTTTGTGATCTGTACAGTTATCACCACAAACACAACAATGAGAAGGAGAAAGAGAGACAAGAAAGGTGGAGAGGGAAGAGCATGACCTTGAGATGATCGGGTGGGCGGTAACATGAGAAATCGAGAAGGAAAACAGAGGAAGGTGTAAGAAAATGATAGAGGAGCAGGAGAAAGAAGATGGATAAAGGAAAAGCCAAGATTGGGAGGAATCGATAAACAAAGATGAAGAGAAGGAGAAGTGGAGGAATGAAGTAACAAAACGTACGGGAGAGAGACAGAAGGTAAATGTAACCAAGCTTGACGTATCTCAAATTCACAGATCCGAGGAAATCAGGAAGGCCCTTGCGTGGCTTTGACTTAACTCCACCATTCACCATCTTTGTTGCCTCTTTTTCCATTTCACTAAACATCAAAACCTTGTGCTCTCTGTTTAAATAATCAAATAAAAATACGAGTCATTGTAACAGAAAGATGGCTTCTTTGGTGCATGTTACCGTTGAAGTGGCGGGTTTTGCTGCATCATTCAGTTGGTGTGGTGTAACTAAACCAAAGCTCGGTTCATGTAATTACCAATGAAACAATAAGATTAAGCTCACAGTCTCCTGGCAAATCTAATACAATAAATAAGATAATCAAATACTTCGAGACTTGCTGGTTCTAAGAATTGGAATCCATGATCTTTAGATCCGCTGGTGTGTTGAGATGTTCTAAAGGATTTACCTCAGAATTTTGATGTTTCCTCTCTCATTATACTATATTTGAACAGAAGATTTAACCCATTACATATAACTTAATCACTCATAACAAAAATTGTACATCACATTTGAAACCATATCTTATCTTCACCTTAAATCTCACTAATGAATACTACTAAAAGTCAATTTAACATTCTCTTTTCTCGTCTTATTACTCGGACCAAAATTTCACAAAGGCTGTCAAGAAGGATTTCAGAACTGCCAAAAGCGGATTTCTTTCCCGTCTTTCTTCTCCTTTCCACGACTCACTGCAAACAACAACAAAAACGAAAGGGAAGGCGTGTGAAACCCTCTGGATACTCAAACATGACACACCAACAACCCCAAAACACGACTGAGGCTTAAGAGTGTGTTTACTCACGGTTTGATTCTGTTCAATGTTGCATTTTTTTCTGTTTGAGAGTAGGAACTATCTGAAGCATCAAGTTTCACTTTTTCCATGGTCGCCTTCTTCTCTACACTTGCGACTTCATTCCCAGCATAGCTACTCATAGTGTCCACTTTTGATCTGTCGTGCTTAGGATTTCCCGACTATTACACAATTTAAAGGTTACAAAGTTATCATCCTCGTGTGGATTTCTCATGTACCATAGGAGTTAACACAGTTTTAAAGAACAGTACAACTAACAGCTTCTCATATAGCGCTCACAGTTGAAGCATTAAAATTGATAACCAAAACATCTAAAAACATTAAAGAGGTTATGCCATTACTAATATTCTTCTGCCACGATCATGAAATACTTTATCCTAAACTTAAATAGGAAAACTCGAAGATGCTAACTAAGAAATCCTGCACCCTTAATAACTAAATTAGAACAACCTGCTGAACACAAACATTTTTTTTGCATGGACACCAAATCCATGAAGACTGTTTAGTTTCCATGAAAAACATAATTATAATTGGTGAAGCTTACCTCAGTGCCAGATGTTGTCATTTTCTGCTCAGTTGTCAATGATCCATTACTAAATTCCTTAGTCTCATAGATGTTGCCAATCTCAGGATTCACAACCACTGTCCCTTTGGTGTCAGCATATTCAACATCTACTGAAGCAGGATTGACAATTTTCTCTCCAACTTTATTTTCCATAGGGACAGAAATATGATTTGGCCTTTTCTCAACAATGACCTCCGTCCCCTTTTCTTCAAGTACAGCAGAAGTGGATGAAATAATCTCCCCAAGATCAACATGATTTGTTGTGCTGATATCCGCTTCCACCTCCGTCTTAGTTCCTTTCTCACCCTCACAAAGTTTGCCCAACTCACTAAGCCGTGCATCCGGTGAGTCCATCGTGGAAGTCACAGATCTTACTGGAAATGTTTCAGCAACTGTTTCTGCTGGCATATCAATTGTGTTTATGTTCACAGTCTCGGTCATTGCTGCTTCAGCATCATTCACGCTTTCCTTGTTGATCAGTTTTGTGCCGTCTGATTCAATGAAAGGTAGTTTGTCAAATCCTTCGTCTTTGTTATCCACATCGAGTCCTTTATCCTGAGGTTTCGTCACAACACTATCACACACCGTCTCCATGTTACTTTCTTCACTGCTAGATGCTGCAAGCTGATTCATGGATATGTCAGTTGAGTCCATTGACTGGTGTAAACGCCCACTGCCTTCTTTAAGAAGTTGATTTCCGTTCACTTCCCTGTAATCCAATATATCAGATCCTCTGTCTTCTGGAGCAGCCTGGCTACCAATTTCAGGTGACTTCATCTCCTCAGCCTCAGAAGAAAAATCATAAATTTGATCTGATGCAGAATGGAATCCGTTTGGGGACAAAGATAAAGGTGGCACAGGATCCATCAATATTGAACTTGACAGACTTTTATCTTGCAAATGGTCAGAGCCATTTCCCTCAAGAACCACGTCACCAGGAAGGACTCTATTTTCTTGGATAATCTCTCTGACAATCTCCCTTATGGTGTAGAAAGATCCACCCACCTCCTTGTGTGTGAGGCTAAGTGAAGGAAAACTCCCATTGTTTAGTTTTTGATGCCTGAAAACAAAACAACAATTACAAAATCTGCAATTGAAAAGGCAAAATTCAAAATTCTAGCTAAAGGAAGAGACTTAGGTTCATACTTTTTAATAAAAGATTCCACCAGTGTTTTTCTCTCTTCTTTGGGAATCCGATTACGAGTCCTCTTGCCTACAGAATCGTTGGGCTTAGCTAGAGCAAATATTTGCCCAGCGTAACTAGTCTTCATAGAGTGCATGTTCTCTCTTTATCCTTTTGCAGAAAAGCTACAGTGAAATCAGACAAATCAGACAAGCACCCCCAAAATAAAAGAACATTAAACAAAAACCCTCAAGACAGATCCGTTTACTTCATCATGTTGTAACAGGAACTATCTAAAATAGCAAACAGCACAACGAAGACTCTCAATTCAGACAAAACACACTACGCGGAATTCTCAACACACTAAAGAGAGAGGACAATTGAATCATAGAAAAGGCAAAAACTCCATCGATAAAGAAGAAGATATCAGAAATGAAGGAGAAGGGTCTACCTACCGCGACGAGAAAGAGAGAGATAACTATAATTCACGAGTCATCTTTGCAAATGGACTAAAACCCTACGCAGCAGTATACAGGAACAGGACACTGTGAGACTGCGAGTGTTGGGAGGCGCAAGCGGGAGTTCGGATAATTATTTCAACTTACGGGGCAAAATCGTATTTGTATTTATTTTCAGTTTGACCCGGAAGACTTTTTTAATCGATTTAGACCCCATCGATTTCAACAATATGAAAGAATGTAACTAATATTGTCTATTGTATATATTAATTATACTTTGAACATAGTACAAGTGACTTCACGTTCCTTCTCTTTCAGCTAAAAACGTCAGCTTATGTAATACCAACATAAAGCCTTTTTTATTGTTACTAGTAAGTTGTACATTCACATAATCTAATTAGTTGGATTCTCTCACTCTGCCTCAGAACAAGTCTCCAAGAACTGGATTAGTTTCGAGCGTTCTTCCTCCAACAGCACAGGGTCTTCGTTCGATAGTCTCTCCCGAGTTTCACCATCCACGCTTGTTGGATCATCCACTACCTGTTTCATTAGTACACAACAACATTACAGCATTTATTAACTCATTCATCAAAACTTGGTTAAAATTTATGTTAAGAGACAGAGACATTTTACTTTTGCGTAATTGTTGATATGGCCGTCTTTGTTAGGTCCTATAAACGGTTCAGCCTCATTATGCGTCCATTCACCATCTATAATGTATTTATATTCGAACTGTCCTTCCTGCATTTCAGAATTATAGTGGTGGTCGGAATATGATGACAAAAGTAGACACTGAGCTTTCCTGTTCATTAAGAAAACTCACAGGCAGTTCTCTCGTTAGGGTCCAGAATCCTGTTCCTTTGTCCAGTGTTAGAGGTAGCCTCTGCATGAAGGCAAAAATGGTGAAAAGTGGAACAGAATATTTATATTGTACATGTATTTACTTCCAAATAGTTTTGCAAAATCATAAGACAGTTCTTTCATGTAATAAGATCTGATATGCAGCACTCATCTCTTCCACTTCTTTTATCCGAGAAGCTCTTCTTTTCAATAACAATGAGATATGCGTATCCTAGTTTTGGAGCTTATATGTGACACCATAATTTAAGAGCAAGGCATCATAATATAATAATAGTCAAAAAAACATATTCACCTGTCCCCATCCAATGTCAAGGCCAGAGATTTCTACTGTGGAGAACCCCTTATCTTTCAGTGTCAGAATAACAGTCTTCTTCTTGAGTCCTGTGAGCTTTTATGTCCATATATACCCAGAAACAAGAATCAGGAATCAAGGAACTAAGCAACAATTCTAATGCTAATCAATGGAAGTGATAAACTTCAAACATTCCAAGCATTGTGAAAATTGAACATGACTCACAATATCAATTGTTGCATTTCTGATAGCATCCAGCTTCGGAAAGCACGACCTTTTGCTCTGCAATAAATTTTCAGAGATGTTGTATAGACCAATTTAAGTGTGCCTTAATGTTTCACTCGCCATCTAGAGATATCACACTTTAAAATGTCTAAATGCTAGACTAATTGATGAACCCAAGATGTTGTCTCTTGTGTGCTATATCTGCAGTATACTGTATATATAACTACAAAACGTAACCAAATGGTCTATATTATAATTGTCGATTCATAGGAGAAGAAGGCAATTCCAAGCATCCTCAAATACTATATAACAGGCAGTAACACTAGTTGAACATATAACATGTTGGGTTAATTTATATAGATATCAAGAAAATCGTGTAGAGAAAATAGAAACCAGAAGTACAGTAGTATCTTACCATGAGTAGTTTATGAGCTTCCATAAGTTTATAGCCTTGCACCCAAAACATGTATGTCAACTGAAATTGAAATTAATATCTGTTCTCAGTATAGCAAAAAAGTCAACGCTTGTTCATTCCTTCATTAGTCAACCAAAGAAGCACATAAATAATACAACCTCTGTCTGAAACACTCTTCCAAGAACTGAAACATCGTTTCAATACTAGAAAGCAATACATTTAAGCTCATGGAAGACTCACAGTGAAAGATGTGCTACAGAAAAAGGTGGAGAAAGAGAATAGCACAGTAACAAGGTTAACATACCGCAACAGCAGGTGCTCTTCCCATTCCGGCAGTGCAGTGCACATATGTAACTCCTCCATTTCGCTTAACAGCTTTGTACAGTACACTAACCACAGCAGGAAGACGCATTCTCAAATCAAATGCATCAAAGTCTCTGATTTCACAGCGAATATGCTCAATATCACTATATTTCTTAGCATATGCTTGAATGCTGCTTATGTCTACGCCAAAATATCTGGAAGTATTGGTCAAGGAAATTTCACTGCAGATCATTCTTCCTCGCCCAAACCGAAGTAACTGAAGAAAACATAAATATGAATAGACAAAAGAGGGTTTTGGAAGGATACTCCAAGTCTGGATCTTGTTGCAAGCAAAATATGGTTTTAACCCCAATTTTACGAAGCTTGTCAACATCTTCAGGGGTCTAGCAATTAAGAAGAGCAGAGCAGACAGTAAGAACACCAAGAAAGTAACACATTTCCACCCAAAAAAAAATCATCACTTGACAGAAGGATAGAAAGAAGACCTGTAAGCACGATCCAACAATTAAATCTGGACGAATGAAGTTGTAGTTCATTCCTAGCTCGTGCCTGTAAGTTAAAACTGAAATGAAAATACATCTGCAATAATCAGTGTCTGAAATGAGAACAAGAGTTTGCCATATGAACAACAAAACTAATCTAGAAGAAAAAAATGAAACTAAGAGTAGACTACAATCTAATGAACCAAATAAATATTGCAGTATCAGACAACAACTGGTAGAAAACAATAGAGTTTCAATGGTTTAAATCATAAACAGGTATACTTGACTTACCAGCACCCATAGCTTGAGTCATGTCTTGGCTATATTCATCAGATTTCTCTTCCTCCTTTGAAACACCACTCATCTCTGAGCTGGATTTTGACTCTGATACCGCCTTCAGTCCAAGCATTTTGACAAGTTTCAACATTTTCTTTATTTTAAACTAAAGAATCTACTTAAACATTCTCTGAACATCAAAAGTACTGATAAATATCTTCAAAAACCTGTAAAACGAGTCGAGATTTAAGATCACTAGCTTTGGTCGGGAATGGTACCATCATCTTCAAAGAAGACGGAGAAAGATCTCTTTGATTGCACCCAAATCCCAGCAGAGGTGAGACAGAGCATCTGGGAAAGTGACGATCAAACACAACAACATCACATAAATAATAAAATAAAGTAGCCAGATCAACAACATTTTTTAAAAAAGATTGATACTTTGTGAAAGAAAGAAGATACCTGGGAAGATTCTGAAGGCAATTCATCTTTAGAGAAAGTGTAGAGAAAATATCAGAGGATGCAGACGAAGCTATACACTCTTCTTGAGTTGAGTTTATGTCTATGACTGTGATATTAAAAAAAAAAAAAGATCTTTGGTAATTATAATAATAGAAATGATATTAATGCTTGTCCAAAAAAAATGTTTGTGAGTGTGACTCTGACGGTCACGAAGAGTAAATTGGGACCCCGGGAATGCAATCACTTTTGTTTCTTACGTAAAGTGGAAATATTATTAAAAAAAGCTCCAACTGTTTTATATTTGATCAGAAAACACCCTCTTAGTCTTCGCTAGCTGATGTGGTTGTGGTCGACCACACATAAGCTTTATTATGATCTCAAACATCACCGCAGGTTTGTCCATGGCCGTCCGATTATATTTTGTTTCTAGTTTCAGATTTGGCTTTTACTTGGTCCACATGATCTGAGGTGAATGAATGGTGAACCGTTAATCTCAAGGTATTTTGAATGTTGGAGGTTCGTTTGATCAATATGAAAAGTAAGGGTTCTGTTTTACATTTTCCGTTTTTTCAATAGCCAAGAAGACCACTCACGTGACGTCATTACATCTCGCTTACAAAAAGATCTTTTAACTCTCTTTTTCAATCAGAAGTTTAGAACTCAGAAGAAATTTGCATAAACTCAAGAAGTTTTTTGCGAATTGTAAAACAAAATTAATTTCAGAATCAGAAGAGTTGTTATTGTCAAAGGTAAAATCAGAATAAATGAGACCGAGGAAAGATTTAAAAAGAAAACATTGCAACAAAGTTTGAAAAAACAAAAAAAAAATTGAAGTAGAGGTATGGTTTCATAAATTTACATAACCATTCTATAGGTCCAAGTTCCACCTACTATGATCCTCAGAAGGCGTGGATGTATCTCCAAAAAGACTAATCTTTGGTCGTTTTTGATCTTTTCCCATTGGTAACTTCCAAAACGAATCTGAGTTCTCGAAGAAATAGTATGCAGCAATGACTGATGCCATGAACAAGCAAAACAACAATGCATAAATCTGCCACTCTGCACATCAAACAGATAGATATTAGTGAGGAGAAGTATATAAACGTATATGTGCTATAGAGATAGATAGATCATCAACAAACCTTTCCACTCCTTTGGTACATTGAGTTTGGTCACCATCTCACCCCATTCGCTTGAAGTTGTCAGCATAACCCTAAGCACCCAGTTAACCAACACGACAGTTAGATAAGATCAACATTAGAAGCAACGCTACTCTAAAGGAACTTAATTATCATTATCTTTTTAATTGATTTACCATACCTTTCAGTAGGGCAGAACTCTAGTGAAGCAATGGATTGACCAAGATGTAGCCTCTTACTGTAGTGGTAGATTTCCATTGTCTTTACTTCAGCAACAGATACATCTCCATCTTTGGCGCCCCTACAAAAAAAAGGTACAAAAAAGAGGCTTTAATATTTGTACAAGCAGACGCATGACAGTAATAACAAGCCCGGGATGAAGAAAGACTCACAAAGCTATATATTTCCCATCCAAGCTCACTGCCATTGTCGATGCAGTCTTCCTTGACAGCTTCTTGAACCCAAGCTTCTTCCATGTACTAATGTCATAAACATTGACCAAAGGCGTCTCACCTGATTCCAAGTGTTTGAGTTTTCATCTGATGTTATAAATTTAAAATACTAGTGATGCTTGTAATTTTGTTTACTCAAAATTTGATAAATTAGATACCTCTTTGAGCAGCACAAAACAAAAAAGGTTTAGTTCCATCTTTAGAGAAACGGCACAGTTCAATATTTTCATCCTGCAGACATGACAATATCAGAATTAGGCAGGACATATATCAGAAGCCAATATCAGAAACACAAAACAGACAAAATCAATAGAGATCTCAGAATCATATTTCTTGAAGAAACTATAGAAATGGAACTCGTCCACCATTCAGATTTCATTGAATACTATTAGTTTCGAAAATAGGGATGCAAATGCTAACTATGGTTCCAAAGTATATAAATGCAATGAAATCTGCATCTCACAGTCACATACCCCACTACGTTCCAAAGTAGACAAAGGAAAACCATCTTCTGCTTTCCATATTCTAGCTGATCCATCAGTTGATGTTGTAGCTAAGAACTCTGAGTCCAGACTACAAAAAAAAAGGGGTACAAATATGAGAAAGGTGCATTCAGTGGGTCGTTTCACAATCTCCATTAACTTCTATTTGTGTTGTATGACCCTAGTCCCAGTTCTAATACAGAAGACCATTTTTTTAATTTGTATTTTTTTGGACAAGAAGACCATTTTTCAACTATGGTTTAAACTGAAAAGAATTAGAGGGGATGATGGCAGAGAAGACTCCGGTCATTACCTAAAATCCATATCCCGGATGGATTTGTGTGCCTTTGGCTCATCCAAAATTACACCTAGGTTTGGCCACTCCAAAATTCTGAGACATCCATCCTGAAAACAGCTTTTAGTAAGCTACAACTAAAATTTTCGCAAAAGTGAAAGAAAAAAAATCCTTTGTAAAGCAGTTCCTTACCACTCCCCCAACAGCTAATTTAGACCCATCAAAACTGAAGGCCATACACTTTTGTAGTCCAGCATTTTGGAGAGGAAGTAGTTCTTTGGCTAAGATCGTAATACCTGTTGCTCCTCCGACAATCTCAAATGACCTGCAAAATCAGATAAATTTTCTTTATTACTATCTGTTGAATTAAAATCAGATAGTATCCAAAATGGTGGAAGTCAAGTCCAATTAACTAGGATGCATGTAATAGATAGAATAATAGAGTTGCAAAAGAAATGTAAGAAAGGGAACTCAAAATATTATACAAGGATCAACTAGAAAGAGACCAATTATACAAAGGTATCGACAATCTCCAACAGAAGTATATGCAGTAATATAATAAACCAAACCTAAAACACAATAAATTCAAGCACCAGTACACTTAATTCTACATCAGCAAGCACAAGGGGTGGAAGATCGTTTGAAATAATGAGAGAAGCAATGCTAAGTTCTAGTCATTTGATGACTAGTTTTCATAACAAGATTGAGAACATGTCATAGGTTTAACAATACCAACTCAACAAAATTGGAAACACTGTATCAGAAGAAGGAACTATAGAGTGCCTTTTAATTATAATTTGTGGATGGTAAAAGCGAGAGAGAAACTTACTTGCAACCACCTTTGGAAGTTGAGCAGAAAAAATAATCTCCACCAGGATGCACTGAAACAGTCACAGGCTCACCATCACTCTCCTTAAGCGTGTGCGTTGCCTATGATCAAAGAAGACAAAAAGGTTGGTTTTTTATTTCATTGGTCGACAGACACAAGTAAACACCAAAAGAAAAGGGCTTTAATTAATCCTGCTTTCTCAGGATCAAAAGGAAACAACTTGGAAACCACTAGATTTGTTGCAGTGATTCAGAAGAACACAAATTCCCCAATCCAAAGAAGTAAACTAGATTTCACCCTAAACCCAATAAAAATTCGAAGCTCTTCGATTTCATTACAAAAAAATCAATGATGTAAGAGGGATGAATTTTTACCAAAGGAGAGGAGGAGAGAGAAGCAGTGGCGGGGTCGAAAGAGAAGATGTTAAGGAGAGCAGGAGAAGAGACAGATGAGCCACGGCGTTTAGAAGCTTTAGCGATAACGACCCAGTTAACCTTCTTCGGGCGACGGATCCATGATCCGCACACAACATGCCCACTCTCACGACTCGCTTCTTCAATCTCCATTCCTTGGATTGATATTTAGTTTTCCTCCTTTGCTCTTTTCTCTTCCTCTCCAATTTGGAACCTTTATATATATATAATACAAATTCGTATTATTATTTTGTTGTGTTGTTTAGTTTCAGAGCAGAAGTTGGAAAAACAGAAAGTAAAACAAAAACTAAAAAGGAGTTGACTTTGGAAATTAGACAGATGGGTTTTGTTGGGTATTATAATGATAATGGTGGGATTTGCTAAATCTCAGATTTGACAAAAGAAGAAACAAACGGAGATTTTGAGCTGTAGCTTTTAAGTTTTTAACTAAAAAATCGTGTATAGGAGAAGATAATTACAGAAGTCAAAGACCGGTGGTGGGAGAGGATATTCCTAAAAGATCCGCTGTTCCGATACCAAATTTAATACAAAGTACAGAAGTACGGTCACATCGTGCTTCCGTGATCTATAGCAGACTTTGCCATTGGTGTCAATCTAATTGTTCCTACGCAAACAAATACAGAGATATCGAATGTCCAAACAAATTATACTTTGAGAAAATATATTTTTGTTAGTTAGTCTAGGATAAATTAATCTACCGAACCAAAACTGAATGAAAAGGAATTTTTACATATTTGAATGGATTATAAATGTCACAACTAAAAGAATTGAAATCAAATCAGAAAAGAACCAAAATATTTTGCTTACCTAGAATGTATATAAAATAGTACACTAAAACCTACAAATCAATACTTTATAAATTAATACATTATAAAGTAACAAATTTTGGCAAGTGTAAATATTAACAAAATTCGATAAGATAATAAAATAATAATTTTTAGAAAATCTTTATGTAAAATATAGTCTCAATAATATCATAAATTAATAATCACCATATATATGTATATACATATTAATATTTTTGTATAAATGAATTTCTCCTAGAGAAGGACAAGTGGGCTAGTGGTTCTCACCTCTGTTGCCTTCTCACCAGATCCGGGTTCGAGTCCGGTCCCTCTCAGAGAGAGACGTATAATTTGTAATGATGACAAAAAAAAAAAAAGAATTTCTCCTAAATTTCATCTTCATAAAACAATTTATGTTATACACTTTTAAACTATAATCTTGTATTATACTCCATAGCATATCATAGAAATAACCAAACTTTTCTTCTTGTTTTCAATTTTTAAATATACATCATATTTAATTTTCTAATTTTATAGATTGTTAAAATATAAAAGTTGAGGTTATTAATCTTAAATTTGAATTTATATATCATATCTAATATAAACAAAGAGTTTACAAATATTGCAACAACCGTACAAGAAGGTATAGAAGAAGCGTGACGTGATAGACTATCCGCAGCTGCATTTTGCTGTCGATACACATGTCTCAAAGAAGACTGTCGTAATTTAGACATCCAAAATCGTAAATCACTGAGGAGTGTACGTACCTATCTGCAGATGATCTTCACACTTTTTTATCATATTTGTAAGCTCCAAATTATCCCCTTCAAACCAAACCTAGCGATAACCACGAATCCACTTATAAGAACATTAAGAAAAGTTTAGAAAAAAAAAAAAAAAAAAAAAAAAAAAAAAACATTAAGAAAACCCAAAGCTTCATGGGTTTTGGAGACATGTGCAACTTTCTTGTCCATGCCCTCTTCTGAAAATCGAAGTAGCTGTATGGGCTTAGTTCGAGAGCCTCAGGCCCTCAGCTCTTGAATATATTCATCTATCTTTAAATACAATATACATGAAAAACTGGCAACGCCATGGAGGCCCTTTCTGATGACGTAAGTGGCTGCATGATCAAAAAGGTTGTTATCTAGTCGCGTGAGGAATGGAGGATTAATATCAGTAGTGCATGTTTCATCCGTCACAACACACTGCATTGGGCTACGCTTACGTATATGTACATTTTTGCAACTGAAACGATATATCCAACTCACTCAACCCTTTTTCACCAACTCTAGTCATAATATACATACTCGTCACTACACTTCGAACATCAAAATTTGTATAGTCTAAGAAGACTCTCTTCATTATATAGGAACACACCCTATTATTCTTCACGTAATGAATTGGACTTGCTCAATTCACAATAGCGCAATCGCGTTTGAAAGGACTTTACGTACTCTACATCCTCTTATCTCCGCACCATAAACATGAGAACACAATCCTAACTACCTTTCCTTTTCCTCCTCTCAAATTTTAAGGTTTTGACTAGTCATTAGATCTTTATATTATTACTCAAGCCGTTAATTAAGTTAAGCGTAAGAGAGCATTACAAAAAAAAAAAAAAAACCTTATATACATATATATTCTTGAAGGTCATATCAGTGGCATTGCCATTGTTTCAGAATCCGACTTGCCATCATGTCGAAGGCGTGCACATCCCCTTAAAAGAAAAACCTGTCCAAAAGAATCCACCCCTTGTTAGTCAAAATCGCATCCATTTGATTCACATAAGTCTACCAAAAACGGCGATCTTACAGTGAACACCACTAACAAGACTCAATTCTACGTCGATTTAAAATTCAAAAGTCATATATGTTCATTAGTTATAGGATGGAAGCCATAATCACAACGAATCAACAAAAATATAAAGTTAGAGGGTTAGACTTATGTTACGATAAAAAGACGTCTAATATATTTTGTAGCAACAGCATGTTTTATTAAACTATAACGACTTTGATCTTGAGTTCTTGACCACCAAGTTGATAATTATAGTTAGAGAAAAATATGTTGACTTTTTAAGAATTAATTTGTAAAATATGTATTTTTATGATGCCGCAAAGCTTTGATAAAACTGTTTTCCTGATTATGGTTAAAAACGGTAATTTACTCTGATTATTCTCAGATTTTCCTTAATCTTATCCCCATTTCAGGGTTTGTAATTCTCCTTTCTTTAAATAATGCATCAAATTTGAACCGTACGAAATATGAGCTTAGTCCATAGAGAACAATATTATATAATCGCGACCTTTCGCAAACGATGAAAGGTGGTTTGCAATCAAACCCTTCTTTACCGAGGGCACTAGGAAAATCAAATGTTTTGGTTCTTCAGTCTTAACCGACCAATTAGATACGGTTAAATGTGATTTTGCGGTTCAATACTGATTATCAGTTTTCCGATTCGGGCCGGACCGGGCCGTAGCTGAATTCAGAACACTTTCCTTCATGAGGTTCGTTCGTTCGTGCCGTCTCTGCGATCTGACCAAATATTAAAGTGTTACGATTCGATTCCATCGTCTCTCTCTCTCTCTTTCCCATTTGTGATTTGTCAAACCCTCTTCTCTCTCGAAGTGCTGTCATGGTGCTTCCTCTCTTCCGGCGCGCTGCGATCACCCGCACTTCCTCGCTTCTCAGAGCTCGTCTTTTTGCTCCTGCCTCCGGATTCCATACTCGGTACGCTTATAGTCTTTTGATGTTGCTCTTCCATGTGCGATCCATGGAATTTTGATTAGTGACCTGAATTTCATTTCTTCCTCCTTTTTTGAGCAATCCGCCATTGACTTTTTTCCAAGTGCTTATTGTGTAATTGTATAGTGCTGTTTAATAATTTATTTTTGAACGGTATCATTTTGATTGATTTGGCTGGAACCAATCAAACTAGTTTGTTTTCTGAAATGGCAATACCTGTTTAGCTTCTCTAGTTTGTGTGATAGATATTTTCCATTTTATGGTACTCGCATTGAAAAGGAAGTGAGTGTCCTTCCAGTCTCGGTTAATTCCAATACCTCGAGCTAGATAACCTTCTTGGTTGTTCAGTATAGGCACCAACTGGCTGCCAGGTTTCTGAAATTTACGGATGATGAATTTTCCATTCCGTTCTAAGTTCAGTCACTTAGAGTTGGCATATAATTTGTTTGTTTGAAAACAATACTATAATTCACTTCCCGGTGATTCTTTTGTTATAGGCCACTTTCTTTGCCCCTTTGTGGAAAGCCCCGTTGGGTATAATTCCTGTTTTAACTGGCATTGTGGTTCTTAAAACTGATGCAAATAATCAGCCCAGTTTTATTTCTTCAAACAACTTGATCAACCTAGTATTTTGTTTTCGACTTCTCGTTGAGTAGATTGCAGTGAGACGCATTGTTAGATGTTGGTTTCAGCTCCCTGAATATAGGAATGTATTTTCTCTGCTCGAGTTTCTTTTGCTGTTTTGTGTGGCAATTTTTCTTTTCATGTTCATAGAAGTGAAACCTGGTGTGATTTCTTTAGTTTCCCAATAAACTTTACCATGAAATTTCTGATTCAGCTTTTCTAATGGACTACACCACTTGGACTGCAAGATTGGTAGCAGTAATGGTGTGAGGTATGTGTTCTATACCGCAAATCTTGGTAACTGATGATGGTTGCAGAAAAGGTTTACTTTTATTGTTGTAAAATCAATACTAAGTTAAGAATAGCATGACCAGTCTATTTCAGTTCCTGTTTCATTCTTTTCTCTACGTTTGGTTCAAACCTGTACATTTTTCCTTAAAGATCCCTTTTTTTGTTAGAAGAGGTGTTTGATTTTTTTCTATACAATGATGTCTTCATGTTAACTTGAAAATTGAGGACAAGATTTTATTCATATAGAAGCCAGTGTGATTGTAGGCACTCAAGGTTTAAGGTTATATTTGAACTGAATTTAAGATGGTTATGTAATTCACAGCGTGTGTGGTTATCCTTTTTCAGATTTTGTCTGATCTAAATTTTCAGGTCTGCCTCAGTAGACATAATTACAAGAATGGATGATAGTCCTCCCAAGCCAATTGTAAGTTCAAAAGTTAGTAGTGTAATTATTATTCACTATCATCTTTCCATGTAACTCATATACATTGTTTTCTTGTAGTTGCGATTTGGCGTGCAAAACTTTTCATCAACAGGTATGCATAGATTGTTATGTCATCTAATGGAATAATGATCTTCATAAATGAATCTACAAAGCAATTCCATACTAGAATTACTAAACCAGTTGATTTATGGGACTTCCATCTGATAAATTAACCTGCTGAAAATTGTAAAATTTTATTAGCCATAAAAATTACCAAGACACAAATATTTAGTGGGCGAGAAGATAATTAATGGGAATTTTCGCTTATCTTATAGAAATATTGGTTGATGAGGTGCAAAAAATTTCCCATGACACTATTTTCTCTGATGTTTTTGCTTCCATCATACTCTTAAAATATAGTGACAGGAGATACAATCGAATATACAA